CGGACGGGGCTGCGCCAGCACGATCTCTCCTCGCTGCCGGCGTAGCCAGCCCGCTGCGCTCCTGCTCCGGCCGTTCGTGCTTCCAGCTGCAGAACAGCCGCCTTGGGTTTGGGAATTTATTCCAGCTGAGGAGTGTTGCTCTTACTTCATCGGCAAACCATTGCTGATCTGTGCCTGCAGGTGTTGTCACGTCAACATTTTGCAGCTGCTGGGTTTCTCGGTGGAAGCTGGATTGCACTGTCTGATATATCCGTACCTGCCTAATGGATCACTACAAAACCGGCTTCAGTGTCAAGTAAGCAAATAATCTGGGCCTGTTGCTATCTGGGATTACAAGTCCTGTCCTGTTATTGTATGAAAAGCAATCATCTCTCTGAATTCTGAGAAACGGCCAAAAAACCAAAAAAGTGCCCAAATATCTTGACTGCAGGTACTAGAAAGGCTGCAGCTCTTTTCCAGTTTTTCTACTGCAAAGCAGAGCAGGCCAACAGGAAGCTTCTGCCGTGCAGCCTTTAGATTTTTAAAGCAACAAGGAATCTGCAAAAGATGTCTATTCCTATTGTAGTATTTCATTGGATTTCGGAATATGTGTCTGTAGAACCCATCACCATATTCCTTGGCACAATGTGCTATGGAGTTCTACAACGGCTTAAGAGGGAACAGCACGAGACGTTCACTCCTGCTGAAAGAGCATTTGCAGAGGTGATCACAGGGCAGAGAGACATCGGAAAAGCAACCCGTCAAAACCAGCGCTGTGCCTCGGGAACGGCCAGAGGACAAGCATGGTCCCTGCTGCGTCCTTACCTCACTGCGTCCCGTGGCAGGCAGAACGTGCAGCACAATATATACGAAGAGGTTCCTTCCCTGGCCTAGCAATCATCATTGTCTGCCTTGCACCAAACTTTTGGTTTGGGTCACCAGGAGTTTTGGTTGGGGCTAAAACAAAGTCTTTGGGTTTCAAAACTATTAATGTCTTACAGTTTATTTATTCTATAAAATACCGGGGTTTTTCCTCACTTCCTTGCAGGATGATTCTGCTCCACTGACCTGGGAGACGCGAATTAGCATTTCTATAGGACTCATCCGAGCTGTAGAGTGTTTACATAATTTTGGAATTCTTCACGGGAATATCAAAAGGTGAGGGGTATGGCATATCAGCACTTCCTTGGTCACTTGTTAATTCCAGGATTTTTGTAACAATAATGGCTGAAAGCTTATGCAATTTTGAAACCCATTTGCAGTGCCTTTCTGCTGTCTCTGGCTCTCTAGGGTGTTTTAATGTTTTTTATGTTTAATCTGTCTCTCTTTTCTAGACGATGGAAGTATATTCTTTTGAAGTAATTTTTGGAGTACTTGTTCTTCCCCCTCTCCCTTTCTACCATTCTTTATCCTTTCATTCATACACAGCAGGCCAAATGCTGGAAACTTTCAGTGCTTAACTTTAAAAGTGTAAAACTGTAATTCTTTACCTCAAGTTAAAGTAATTACTTGCCCAATATTGTTATTTGTCTGTCTTTATCACAGCTCAAATGTCTTACTGGATGAAAACTTTACACCAAAGCTTGGTCATTCAGGTCTGCGATTGTATTCTGTTGATAAAAAATCAGAATATGCTATGATGAAAACCAAAGTCCTACAAGCTTCCCTTACTTACCTGCCAGAAGATTTTATCAGACATGGGCAGTTAACAGAAAAAGTTGATGTATTTGGCTGTGGTGTGGTACGTTGCCTTTTTTTCATGTTCTGGTGCATTCTTTGGCAGGAAATTGGGTATAAAAGCATGTGCCTCATATAGTTGTTTTGACGGCAATTTCATATCGTAGTTGCTGACTACATAATGTGTTGAAATCCTGTTTTTAATTATGTTCACACTCCACATATACCTCAGTTTGTGGCAAAGTGAGGCGAATCTTTTGAACAACAGAAACAAAACTGTTTCTTGTTGCAAAAAAAAATCATTACTGCTGATCGTTTTAAGAAAAATAAGTAGCAGAAAGACTGTAGTTAGGTTCTCGGAGTCCTTTGCCACATGAACTGCTACAAACATCACCTGTTAATTTGGAATTTCAGCTAAAATAATTGATAGTCTATGATGTCACCTGTCTCCGGGTGTTTCCATTTAAATAGGAAGTTACTCTGTTCAGTGTGATTTCTTATCTAGATTTTCAGTGACTTTCTTCTCATCCTTTGTTTCAACAGTGTCTGTTGTACCTAACTATAAAATTTGGACTTGGCTCTGGAGGTAGATCTAAAGTGTCACAAAGATTGCCCAGATCTGGCATTTTTAAGCCATCTGAAGTAAAAATAGAATTTCAAAATGCCCTGGCAGTTCAATATTTCTTTAGCTACAAAACTCATTTTTAAAAGTAGAATTAATTCTGAACAAATTGTTTTATCTTTCAAATATACTTTCTAGGTCTTAGCAGAGCTACTGACAGGGATTAAGGCACTGGATGAAGGAAGACACCCTGTTTATCTGGTAAGGAAAAGCAGGAATAACGAATACCGACACGAGTGAATGGGGTGGCTGTCGTAAAATGAGTTTTCATTCTCTGTAAGCGCAGCTTGTTATTCGTAGTCTGCTGTGCGCACGCTGACGAAGGGACGTTCACAGGCCGTTCCTGCCTGCCTTTGGACGGAAGCAGAACACGCTGCCGAGCGCTGGCCCGGCTGTTCTGGGAAGCGCCCCGCGGTCACTGGTGTGTAAGCGCGTGCTGAAACGCTGCGGCATGTTTTTACGTGCCGCAAGGAGGTGTTACGAGCCCAGCTGAATGGGGAAGCCTGGGCAGGCGGTGACTGCAGGCGCTCGTCGTCGCGTCTGTCGGGCGTCGCGGTACTGCGCTGGTGTCTGGAATTTACCGCCTGGCCAGCGTGCCCAAGCTGAGACTGGAACTACACAAAGTTCGGAAGGGCCGGAGCCGGCCAGGCCCACCGAGCGCCATGACCGGCACCTCACCACACGGACTGCGCCGGTGTGCTGTGTGGGTCGCGCTCCCTCCCGCTTGCCACGCTGAAGCCTTTGAGGGGAGGACGACGGTATCCTGACTTACTGTTTCCAAGCAATTCAGCCGTGTTCAAGTGGGTTCAGGAAATAAAGGATCCTCGGCTTCCGATTTCTTCAGCGGACGTTTGACGAGTGCTGTGCAGGAGTGCTGCCGCATGCAGCGCTCGTTGGCTTTCATCCCTGTAAGCGGGCGCAGGCCTGGAAGAGCTGGGCCTGCCTTGGGCAATTTGACACTAGATACACGCAGAGAAAACCTTCGGCTTTTTCTCTCCTGTGAAAATCAACGTTTCTGGCCGTTGCTTGAATGGCGATTCTTAAAGCTTTTAGGTCTGTAAACCAGCCGTTAAGGAGCAATAATAACAAAATAAGTGGCAAGACTTATATTCTCAGTGATTCAGATAGAAATAAACGCTTGGGTTAATTTAGCCTTCACTAATGTATCTCTTTCCTTTGAACAGAAAGATATGATTGCTGATGAAATTCAAATAGCGAAAGAAAGCTCGTACTCCAAAGTAAAAACTTTTGAAAAGCTGGCTGCCAAGGCAATATGCTGTAAATATCTAGACAGGAAAGCAGGACACTTGCTGGAGGAGGTTGCTGTTGATTTTGCTTCAGCCATCTGCCTTTGTCTGAGAAAGAAGAATTCTAACATAGCAGAGGTAATATTTTAAATACATGACCAAGATGTTAGTCTTCCCGACAGCACGGTCTAAAGCTACAGCGTTCACGCCTTACTTATTTTTGTGAGTGTTGACATAGGAGAATATGTGTAAGCATATGAGTACAGCAATTCTTCTGCATTCACAGATTTTGTTGTTAAAACCAGGTGCTTGAAATCATGGAAGCGGCTGAAAATAAATTAAGAGAACATTACCTCTGTGGAGGCAGCACTTCTGGATTCTCCATGAACACTCCAGAAGAAACTGATGATGAGACAACTAGTCTGAGCATGGATGCGCCTTCTGCGGGGGAGAACGGAGAGGACAGCACGCAGCCGGTGAGCCTGACGAGTGCCAATCTACACACGCCTTTAACGGGAGCTGCGGCACCCGACATCTACTGCGGACAGATGTCGAGGGTCCCCTGTGAATCAGACGAATCAAGTAGTTTTACGTGGAATCCTTCAGAAGGATGTACAGATGAGCTATCCAGCAACAGCTGTAACAATTCCGAAAACACGGCAGCCTCTGATCACAGGATCAAGCAGGAAAAACCTGCCGATGAACTCCGGGAAAGAAACGCGGCGTGCACCAGAAGCGATGACACCTTGGAAACAGCGTCTACTGCACAGAGCACCTTTCAACAACAAAATGCGGACCTCCGCTCCTCATGTTCTTCACAAGGTAAGGCTAGATAAACCTGAAGGGTGCACGCGGTCATTCAAAAGCATGTGGTCTTCAAGCTGTTTGGGCAAAACTGGCCCTGCTGTTGCCAACGATAACCGAAGTCTTTGTAAAGTGCCCTAGTGTTATAATAGTAGGGATAAATTACTCTCTTCTCCAGAATTGCGTAGGTTCTTCTTCCTACTTCTAAACACATTTCAGTAATCTTTTCTCTTTGGTTATGATTTTACCAATAAATCTACAAAATGTTTTCTGGTTTTCTAACAGATTTTTTTTCCCCAAGCCATTTTTTTGTGTTGTGTTTTTTTTTTTAATTAATTTAAAATTATCATCTGTTCCTTAGACAATAGATGGGTATTTATTTTTCTCAATATTTGGCCTTTTTTGGTTTTCAGCATTAGCCAGAGAGACATCTTGGAAAATAAAAATAAATGATCAAAAAAAGAAGCTCATGGAAAATATTTTGCTGTATGAAGAAGACAAATTAAACAGTTCTGAACTTTTTGAATCATAAATTGGATGGATTTATTAGCAGTGGCCAGCTCAGAAGAAGAAATAAGGACTGGTCTCTTCATTAGAAAGATGGTAAAAGTGTACCTTTCATGTAAGGTTAAGTAGCAGATTTGGATCAGAAACGTCAGCCCTGACTGGAGAAAACAAAAGTGATCACACTGAGAAGAAACAGAAAATATCTGTTCTAAAGCAGATTAAAGCACAGTGTCACTCTGTAAACAGAAATGCCTTCTTCCTTGTCAGTCTGCAATGTACAAAGATATGGCAAACACGAACAATTGCCAAAATGATTTAGAATCCTTTTGCAGTGTAGAAAGCAGTAGAAAGCATCTACGTATAACGTACGTCTTATTAAAAAGCACAGTCCTAGAAGTTACAGGGCAAGCGCCGATCCGCAACCAGTCAGCAATACCCTTTATTGTAATCCCACTGTGCACAAGCAGACAGAAGTCTTCAGAGAGATTGGAACAGGTTTCAGTTTTCAGATGAGTCTGTCCTATTCCATGTAATATCTTAGTCCACATACCCAAAAACACTGCATTACCAGAGAGGGGAATTTTTAGGTGAGTTCTCAGATGTATTCTACATGACTCAGTCTCAGTTTGAATTGCGCTGAACATAGCTGTAAGTAAATAATTTAAGCCTTCTTAGTCTGTTCTATGAGCTGCTCTACTGCAGGTATCTATCTATGACACCATTTGGAGTCTAAACGCTGCTTCACTGTCAGGAGCTCCAAGACAGTGTTTAATACTTCATAAGAGTATTTGTGGAAGTAAATTTTTTTCTCGGTGTTCTTTACGTGTTGTTAAGGTTTCTCATTGTGTTTCACATGGAAATTTGTATATTTTGGATTAGGGACAAGATTTTAATTTAAAACATCTTTAATTTTGTTACAGGTCACTTGAAATTTGATTTGTTATCTGTATTTTGGCAATGGGTTAAAGAATCGTTGAAAGATGAGCTAGTAAGTGGACCTGTTCATGGTGCCACGCTTACCATGTATTCTCGGAGCAGAATCGCTTTGTGCGTCTCTTGGCTTACCCAGCATTAGCAGCCTTGGGGTCAGCCTCAGCGATCACACTTAAAAGAAAAAAAAAAAAAAATAGAAACTTGTATGCTGTCGTATTTATTATGCAGTGAAAGCCCCCTTAAGAAAGTGTCACTTTCATTGTTATCACTATTTATTATTTGTAATATTGTTAGCATACTCCACTCTTGTGCAGTCTGAGGACATACGGGTTTGTTATAAACAAAAAGAACTATCAGAACACGTAGCTCAGCTTACAGAGAGGTGACTGCTGCCTCCTTAGCGTAGGTAATAGGGTCCGACGTACACAAATGGCTAAAATACACAATGGAGTTCAGGGAATATAGAAAAAAAAAAGAATAATTTATATGTAATTCTTTTCATTGGAATTGTGTAATGGTACAGTTTTCCTAGCTTTACACAAAGGCCTCCAAGTAAGGCCTCGTATCTTCTATAATTTGTCCAGTACCTAGTTCATTGTAGGTACTATTATGAGCAAGTAAAAGTATTTTAGCTAAAGACCTGAGTATTAGAATAATCTACACATTTATCAAATTGATTTCTAGATTTCTAAAAACTGGTAAAACGCCTTAACTGTAAGTGCCTTGGATACTGTCTACATATTTGCCAGTGTCTTTTTTTTTATTTTACCAGAGTCAAAGAAAACATTGGCACTGACGTAAGAAACATTGAATATGCTCAGATTGGTCAATAACTGCTTAATTCTACCTGAGATTTGAGACACTTCATGGTGCTGTTGTTCTTCATGGGTATTTTGGGAGATCCGTGGTAACTACCTCAGGTCTCCTCCAGGAAGAAATGCACATAGACACACACCCCAAAGCTGAATGGAAAACCTAAGCTTTTAAATTGAGAAACATAATTTAGACACAGTTCTGTTTCACAAAAATGCTTTAAAGGTTTTGTTCTCCTGTAGTCACAAAATTAAATTCTTTGCCTTCTTCCATGTTAGTTTTAAAATATTTCAAGGTGATATACATGGTTTTGTAGAGTTACGTATGTAACGTAATATATAAAAGACACTGCGTAGTCTTACAATAATCATACTCTGTTACGTAACTTGGCTATTCAGTATGATGTATGTTTTAATCTCAACTTGGCCAATTTATACATTACCATTCACTAACAACTTTGTGAATAAAAAAATTGAAAAAAATCCTTTCTTTATAGCGTGCTTTTTCATGATTTATGGCACAGAAAAATGTGTCTCAGTCCACCCTATTTTTGTGTGTTTGTAGGGGAGCAACTCAAGGTCTCTTTGCACACGCTTAATCATTAGTAATTATTTGTAGAAACGTGTTTATTCAGCCTTCATTCGCTGTTAAGTAGTTGATTTTTTTCCTTTGAGGTGTCCCTAGAGAAATTTCACTCTGAATTAATAATCACAAGGATTACCGAGATACAGCTGACATTTATCGTCGTTCAGATGCACAATCTTAGTATTCTTTATCCTTAAGACATCGTAGCTCTTTGTCAAAAAAGGAGGACAACTCCGCATTTTTTTAGTCCATGAACACTGGCATACGGGCACAGAATATAATTTTTAAAAAAATACAGTTGCTATAGAACTGTGCTAGTAAAAGTAATTTGGAGATTAGCACCTCCCAAAGGTGCTGTTAAAACCTAGAGGCTGAACATCACCCTGTATTGTTGATTAATGGTAAGAATTACCAATTCATGGACACACTATTTTTTTTCTTATATGTTTAATTTTAGTAATGCAAATAAATACAAACACGGAAGCATCACGTCTACGAGCAAAACTAAGGCGGCCTGTAAACAGGCAGAGTGCAAAGGAAGCTGCACCGCACGGTTTTCGAGGCTACTAATTGCCGTATAACAAACGAGCCCGTCCTTCTGGAACCACGGCCCGCACCCGGCGGAGCCCTGCTTCTGGAACACGGCCGTACCGGAACACGACGGCCCCGTGCCACAGAACACACCGCGTCCGCCAACGCGTGCCAGGGCGCGAGTGCTGCTTTTTCCGGCGGCAGCGAAACGCGTTTCCCAACACGCGCGGCGCCGCCTCTGCCGGGGCGATCGCCTCCACGGAGGCGCATTCCCCTGACGCGTGGAGCACACGGTCGGTTTCCGGGCTCGGAAAGGCCGGATGCGCTACGCCTTCAAGCGCGCCAGTGAAGCGAGCGTACGATGACAGGCGACCGCACGTGACGTTGATCTACACACGTCGTTGTTGAGGAGAATCTTTCTGCGTTTACTACTTGAACCGGCAGCTGAGGAAGTCAAACAAGTGTTTCAAGACACGGCTCCCACGGGAGA